AGATATCTCTGTGTGTCCTCTCCCACCATGATATTTAAACACAGGGGAACTTTGTTAAAATAAACATAAAGGACAAGCTTGATCAAAAGACCAGATGTAACTATGAGGTGCAATAGTCAGTGAAGTATAAAAGTGAGCAATTAAGACAATTTTTCAGTCTCAGGGTCTTAAGTGGATGTGAGGAGAAGCATTTGCCATTGACTTGGTGATACCCAAAATATGGCATAGGAGGGCTTTAGATGTGTCTATTACAAGTACAGGTGGAGGTGCCACAGGCTTCCCTCCTCAGGGACTAGAGACTAGATTAAGGGTCAGTGTATACCCCAATGAGCCTTGATTCCTACATTCCACTTGCACTGTGGGCCAAAGGAGCAAGCTTTAAACTCACAGAGAACTGATATGTAACTCATCTTTCATTTTCTTTACAGCCACAGAATGTACATGGAAATAGGAAATTGATATAAATCATAACAATTCATTTAAGTCATGATAAAATCTTTGCAGGATTTTACTTCCTAGATTTTTTTTTTTTAGTGACAATTCTTTTTGTTTTTACTTCTGCTTGTCCCAGCTCACTTTTATACTGATAGTGTTTTTCCTCTCATTTTTTCTTTTCCCTGTAGTCTACAATGCTGTTTTTTTCATTTATTCATCAATCTATCGATATCTTTCCTATATCTATATCAATATAGATGTGTTCACTTAAAAGTAACCCATACATTTTTAATGGAGCATAAGAATGAAACTAAATAGGAAATATAATTTGAAGGCCAATGATCCACTAATTATGATCCACATAATTGAAATTAAAAACCTAAGTAGAAAATTTTAACCTCAAAATACTATGCAAATATTAGTACCTGATGAATGCAAGTCCCCTCCCCTGTAACTTATTACAATGATAAAGAGCAAGAATAAAAACTTACCAGATCTCTGAGAGTTTGGCCTCTTGATCATTTTACTGACATTATCATAAGGGAATTTTCACTTTTTACAAGGCCAATATAACTAGATTTAAAAATTCATTCATGAGTCCTTCTAAGTTATGCCACTGGAAATTGAACAAGCCTGTCCATCTTTAGGTAGACAGAGAGATCCTTTGCTCCTGCAGCACAGACTGTAAGGTCTGTATACAGTTATACATACAGACCTTATAGTCTGTATACAACTATATATATACACACACACTATATATAGTCTGTGTGTGTGTGTGTGTGTGTATATATGTGTATATATATATGTGTGTGTATATATATATGTGTGTGTATATATGTGTGTGTGTGTGTGTGTGTATATATATATATATATCCTTTGCTCTTATTTCTACCAAAATAAGAGCACTTTTTGTGCTACCTCCCATCTTTAAGAGGAAGTTTATGGGCGGAGCAAAGGCATGATGAGACCTCGTAGAAGTCCCTGAAAGCTACTCCGTGTGTGCGTGTGTGTGTGTGTGTGTGTGTGTGTGTGCGCGCGTGCATGCATGTACATTTCATCTTTTCAAAATGTAACAGTCATTCAATTGGGCTAGCAGAAAATTTCATTCTATGCCAGGAAAACAATTTTAAAAGACTCCTTGGCAGAAACTGAAAAATTAAACTAGCAAATGTACACATAAACCATATCTTTTCTCCCAATAACTAAGATAAGATTCAGCCTAGCAGCCAAGTTGGCAGACTTTAAGTTGCTCAAAGTCATGCTTAATCCCTGCCTGCTGGCAAACTGTGGATCTTGATAGGTTTCTTTCTTTTCTGATGATAAACAATGAAATAAGAATTAAAAAATAATACCACAGAATAGAGAAACGGAAACAATCACCTGGTGACTCAGAGAAAGTTTACCTCTGAGAACTATCTTCCACAGAAATCAACTTAACAGGCAATTTACAAAGTTTCATTATTAAAGAAGAAAAAAAAAACCTTACTAGAAAGGTAAAATTCATATTTGTATTCTGAAGTATGTAATTATAGAATACAATAGGTACAAACTTGTAGAATTTTAAACGGAGATTTTGCTCAGCCAAGAATTAATATTCAGAATAAATGCTGTTTACATAAAAAGGCAAAGGAGGCATATTTGGAACTCAACAATATATACAGTCATCCCTCAATATCCAGGGGGGATTGATTCCAGGATCCCCTGTAAATACCAAAATCCATGGATACTCATCCTTTACATAAAATAGTGCAGTGTTTACATATGACCTACACATATCCCTTTATACACTTTAAATCATTTTTAGATTACTTATAATACCTAATGCAAGGCAAATACTATGTAAATAGGTTCCAAATTATATTGTTTAGGAAATAATTACAGGAAGGAAAGTGTAAGTGTTCAGTACAGATGGTCCACTGTATTCTACATAGTCTTCTTGAAGAAGTTATTTCAAGATATATTCCATCTATCCTACACACCAGTGAAATGAATAAATGAACAATAGAGTGCTAAAATTTTAAGTACTAAGCAATACAAGTAGTGAAACGCTGATCTAGGCCTAAAAATATTGTACAATTGATTAACAAACTAAATATAAATGTCAAAAATATTTTTATGAAAAAGGACTTATTTTTTGGTAATTCAAAATCATATTCTTGGTCAGATATGCTAATTTTATAATAAGTGAAAGTGAAGAAGATGAGAAAAGTAGTAGAAAAGAAAGCAAAGTTCTCATGTCCAGTAGTTGGAACTCAAAATAATAATAAAATAATTTAAAACTGAGGGTATTATTCCAAATGCCCAAAGAAGATGTAACAGTGTCCAATTGTTATGTCTAAAAGACATAAACTGTATGGTAAAATACATAAAAAGCCATAAATGGTAACAGAAACAGACAATTACCTATAACAATGCATCATAAATACCAAATGTCAACTAAAAAGAAAATAAATGTTTTGAAAGGCAGTCATTAAAAATTATGTTTACAAAGATATTTGGTTACATGATCAGATGCTTATGTTCATATTAAGTAAAAATGACAGAATTTGGGATCTAAATTCCAAATGTTCTACTTGCTAATTATGTAAACTTGCAAGGTAATTAGCTTATAAGTCTAAATTGTACATTATAAAATGAGATGGTGATATGGTTTTGCTGTGTCCCCATCCAAATCTCATTTTGAATTGTAACTCCCACAATTCCCACATGTGGGAAGAATCCAGTGGGAGGTGATTGAATTATGGGGGCAGGTCTTTCTCATGCTGTTCTCATGATAGTGAATAAGACTCATGAGATCTGATGATTTTAAAAACAGGATTTCCCTGCACAAGCTCTCTTCTCTTGCCTGCCACCATCCATGTAAGATATGACTTGCTCCTCCTTGCCTTCCATCATGATTGTGAGGTCTCCTGAACTATGTAAGTCCATTAAACCTGTTTCTTTTGTAAATTGCCCAGTCTTGGGTATGTCTTTATCAGCAGTATAAAAATGGACTAATGCAGATAGTAATAGTATCTTCCTTACATAGTTTTTGTAAAGACTAACAAAAATCACATACTGTTTTACAAAATGCCACATCCATACTAGTGTAAACATTCACTCAATCTTACCTACAATTATTATCATTAGTAGTAAAAATAAATCCCAGTGATATATCACTATAAGAAACTGTATTAAGATTTCTTAGAGGTTTATTTCTGAATACTGGCATTATAAATGGATTCTTTTATTTTTAAGATATTTTCTTATATGTCTTAAATCCTAAATATCCTTTTAAAAATATATCTTTTCTACATCAGAAGAGATAAGATGTTATCGATAAACTGAAGTTCTTTTTATTACACTTATTATTCCTGTCTCACAAGAGACAATCATTATAAATGATAAAATAAATACATGAAATGTTTATTCAGCAATTTGTGATGGTTAATTTTATATGCCAACTTGACTGGGACACGGGGTGCCCAGATGTTTCATCACACATTATCCTAGGTCTGTCTGTTAGTGTGCTTTGGATGAGATTAACACTTGAATTAGTAAAGTGAGTGAAGTAGACTTCCCTCAGTCGTGTGGATGAACTCGCTGTAATCGGTTGGCCAGAGTGGAACAAAAAGGCCAAACCTGCCACAGGCAAAATAAACTTCACCTGCCTGATTGTTTGAACTGGGACATCGGTTTCTTCCTGCCTTTGGACATAAACTGAACCATCAGCACTTCCTGGGTCTGAAGTCTGCTGACATTTGGACTAGATGCACACCATGGGCTCTTGTGGATTTCCAGCTTGCCATCTGCAGATCTTAAGACTCATCGGTTTTTATAATTATAATTAAACAAGACCATTCCTTACAATAATCTCTCTATGTATTATATACATCCTATTAGTTCTGTTTTTCTGGAGAACTCTAACACACAACTCAAGATTAAATCATTCTCAAAATGTTACATAGTTCTCAATACACACATAGCATTGCTGGTGTTACTGTGCTTAAGGGACACCATATGGGGTAGAAAGAAGAAATTTCAAAAGTCATATCAGAATAATAAGATGCAGTAAATTGAGAAATGTCAGCAAAAGTTAATAAAATTGCCTTTAACACAGATCAATCAATCCAGTTAATTCACTATTTGAATAGTCTGTAAATTCCTTACAAGTCTTTTTGCCTCCCTCCTTGCTCTTCACCATTTAATATAGATAACTGAATCAGGAAGCCATTTAAAGTCATTGTAGACCTATGTTGTGTGTCAACATACCATCTGTCTAATCAACGACAATGTATGTTTAGTTGCAACTGCTTAAAGTTCTCTTACGCTTCTGTGGCATATACTTATTTACATTTTTTACTAAATCACACATAGCAGTGAACTCCACAAAATATTATCATTGTCAATATTCCTCTGTATATTCGAAATTAATCAGTTAATAATTTATAGTCTAAAAAGAATTATATCTAAGTAATGATCTGAATTTCTCGTTCCAAGTCTCATTTTAATTCCTTTAGTCTCTTCTGCTTCTAGTATCCAGAAAGAGCCCAATAAACAATAAGGGTAACATGCAAAGAACTTACATGTGCAAGTTGTCCCATTTTCATCCAAAAGTTGATTATCAGCACAAGCACACACCCGGCCTCCTGGGATAGCCAAGCAAAGCGTACTACAGCCCCCATTATTTACTCGACACATATTGTCACCTGCAAGAGGAGGAAAGCAAATGTGTCAGAGAACTCTGATTCACTTCCTTTCCAGGAGGTGAACATAGATGTAATTACATACACATATATGTGCTATGTATATTATATATTTAGTAATATAGTCAGGATTTCTGCCGAATCATAACTAAATTCATTAATGTTTGAAAATATGTGATGCATTGGTAGATAAGGATAAGTTTCTCATTAATTGGAGGAGATAGAGGTCTGAGTGAAGTTAGGTATTAGGTGAGGAAAGAGAAAGAAGAGAATGGTGTTTGTCTCAGATCGTTTTCCAGATTAGGCCTATTGTATTCAGGTCTGAGTTCTTTGGAAAGTAGACCACCGGCTCTCAGAATGTGGTTTTGGAGCCCCAGGAAACAGAAAGCAAATGAGTGTGGGAGCAAGGGTGGGGTATTCTTTTCTCTTGTGCAGTATACACCACAAAGTCAGTGTATTGAGGACTCCAGGAATCACAGGACATCTGTGAAGACTCAAAAATGAGCAGCCTTGCTGGTATAAGGTGAATGTCCAGTTCACAAGGGTGAAAGTGTTCTCCCGGTGGATCTAACGAGCAGAGGCACGAATGAGGTATACGATAGACATCAATTAAGCAGGCATGAGAGGAAATTCACAGAGGTGCTATTCACGAATCTATGTCAGGCACTCTTGCAGACTCTCAGATAAAATTGAGTAATTATGTTTAAATCAACAAGTAATAATTGTTCATAGTCATAGTGATATTTCAGTAAACATAATGTATAGTAATCAGATCAGGGTAATTGGCATATCCATAATCTCAAACATTTCTTATTTCTTTGTGTTGGGAACATTCAATATCCACCTTCCAGGTATTTGAAACTATATATCATCATTAACTATAATCATCCCACAGTGGTGTAGAACCTTGGAACTTATTCCTCCTATCTAGCTGTAATGTTGTATCCTTGAACAATTGTAAAGGTGTTGGTACAAATAAATACAATTTAGATTGCCAATTCATCTTACAGGTTGGAAAGGAAAGGAAGAAAGTGTATTTACACTTGTGCATCACTTAACGATGGGTATACATATTAAGAAATGTGTAATCACATCATTGTGCCAACATCATAGAGCATGCTTACACAAACCTAGATAGTAGAGCCTGCTGCGCACCTAGACTACATGGTGCTAAAAAAATGTTAGCTAGATGGTCGGGTGCGGTGGCTTACGCCTGTAATCCCAGCACTTTGGGAGGCCGAGGCAGGCGGATCACAAGGTCAGAAGATCGAGACCATCCTGGCTAATACGGTGAAACCCCATCTCCACTAAAAATACAAAAAATTAGCTGGGCGTGGTGGTGGGCACCTGTAGTCCCAACTACTCCGGAGGCCGAGGCAGGAGAATGGCGTGAACCCGGGAGGCAGAGCTTGCAGTGAGCCCAGATCGCGCCACTGCACTCCAGCCTGGGCAACAGAGCCAGATTCCGTCTCAAAATAAATGAATAAAAAAATAAAAATAAAGTTAGCTAGAAAAATATTTTATGTAAAAATGTCATCTTTAAAACATGTTTAAGTGACTACTTTTCTTTTCTTTTTTTTTTTTTTTTTTTTTGTATTTTTTTAGTAGAGACGGGGTTTCACCGTGTTAGCTAGGATGGTCTCGATCTCCCGACCTCGTGATCCGCCTGTCCCGGCCTCCCAAAGTGCTGGGATTACAGGCTTGAGCCACCGCGCCCGGCCAAGTGACTACTTTTCAAACACAGTGCTAAAAAATTGTATACCTGTATATCAAATATTGCTTCTGGGCTACAAACCTGTACACAACATGTTATGGTACTGAATACTGTAAACAATTATAACACAATGATAATAGCATTTCTGTATCTGAACATACACAAGGTACAGTAAAAATACATTACCATTACCTTATAGGACCATCACCATACGTGCAGTCCATCATTGACTGAACCATCTCTATGCCACATATGACTATACTTACCTATAAATGTGTCAAACTTTAAAGAGAACGCAACACTAGCAATACAATAGGTAATATAATCGCAGGGTCATATTACTCTATGTTGCAGTTTGTTCAAAGTATCAATAAATAACATTTGGATTATATCAGAAGATTTTACTGAAACATTAAAAATAGCGAGCTTTTAATTACCTAGAGCCATACGATAAGAGAATAAAATGATTAAAGTGCAAATACCAGCAGTGTGATTAAAGTGACAGACTAGGTTGTAATACTGTGAGCCTCAGAGGTTGGATGTGCTATGTGGAGGATAATAAGACGTGAGAAAAAAACTCTAAAATGCTCCTTCATGCAATAAATATTCAATACATTACCACAGGTTATCATTGAGTGCCCACTGATCAGAAAAAATGACCTAAAGTATATTCTCATTTCATTATCTTGAAAAATAAGTTTAATTCACTGTGTTTATAACAAATTTAAAAATACATATGAAAGCCAAGAAAGCTAATAATTCATGCTACAGTATCAATTGCTGAACTCAGAGGGTAATTAAGCCTAATACAGAGTTTTTTTTAATAGGAAATGCATAAATGCTTTAAGCAGCTTCCAGATCAGGTCATGTTTATTCCACGATCATGGAATAAAAATGCAATGCTTCATAGAATGAATAGTTATTCTATGTTGTACACATTCTGTACAGGATGAAATAGTATATTTAATATTTTAGGAGCATTCAAATTCTGGAAAATTAAAATTAACTCAATATATTTTGAGAAATATATAAAGAATTTAAGCAGTAGGAAATAAGGAATTACTGACAACATATTGAAACATTGAAATTATATGCTAAATATATTCTTTAATTCAGTGGTTTGCCTCATACCATTCTAAATGAATATGAAATTTAAGTACTTAAAAATAAATTAGCATTATTCAAACTTTGAAATATATTTATTTTCTGTTAATACTACATATTAAGAGAGGGGAATTGGTTATTTGTTCTGTCATAATAGAAATCCAAAATCTAAATTAATTTGAATAATTCTGTATCTCTCCTCTGAAGGGCTTAGATCTTTTTTATTTTAATAGTGACCCAGCATATTTTTGAATTTCATTAATATGTTCCAGACAGAGCTCATATGATAGTATTTTTTGAAGTTCCGAGAACTAGAAAAATATTTTATGTAAAAATATCCTCTTTAAAATATGTTTTAATGACTACTTTTCAAACACGGACCTATATATTAATTAAAATCATTAACATATTAATAGCTGTTGTTAATGAAAAATTAGAATCAATCCCAGAGCTAGTTACTTTACATATATATTATATTTTTTTCAATTTTTAAAATAAAATTACAAGGAAGGTTTTTTCTCATTTACAGGTAGGAAAACTGAATATCTGAGCAACTAAATGACTCTTCCAATATGTAGAAATAGGAAATAATTCTTATTAAATTATCATTTATTTCTAGATAATCATTATGATTATATTTATTTATAAATAATTAGAAATAAGATTTTCTCTAAAATTGTGTTCTCAAACACTAACTTATTTATATATATTAAAATAAAATTAGATCAGAAAAGACATACTAAATATAATATACCAAAACCAACAAAAGTCTGTTACTTTTAGGAAGCAGATAGTTTTTAAAAATCAAAGATGCAAGGAATGCAAATGAAGAATAGTTTTCAATATCTAGTTGAAGATGGATGTTTGGCTTCATGAAAAACTTTGTCTTTTTTTTCCCCAATCTTGTATCTTCCAGAAGCAAAATTATTCTCCACCTTACAAATAGTGCACGGCATAGAGTGTGTTTGATAAACATTAGTTAAATAAATAAGTGGTGAATGCAACTTTTAGTTAGTAGTTTGAATGACAAGAACAATCATTTGGAGTGCAGGCACAGGTATAAGTTTGTGGATAGACAGAACTTCCAAAGAATGGTAGTAAAGACACAAATAATATGTGAAAACATTTCACAAGCCTATATTAACATCTTAATGTTTTTAGACATTAGCAGTTTAACTTTTGTTAATAAAGTATCTTTTTTTGAGCAAATGAGAGAATATAAAAACCAGCACAAAGGAATTCCATTGTTTCAGGCTTTCTTTAATCTGAATTTTCTTGAAAATTGAATAAAGAAAACTTGTTTTCTATATATGTCCTGGACTCTTGACTTCTCAATGTCTTATCATAGGCAAAGTGAGAAATCTCTGAAGTTAATATAAAATATGTAAAACTATAGAGATTCTCTCTTTTTTTTTCCTAACTAATGTAGGGATATTCGAGCTTGTAGTTTAGAAGGGGCAGTAGATATCTCATGTATTCCAAAAGTTAGATAAAGGCCAAGAGAGTGAGATCCCAAGGCCAGATGAATTATGCATTTAATCTAGTATAATTTCAGAAGAATTGATTTTGAACGATGTCAATCAATCTGAGGCAAGGATTAAATGTTTCTTACTTTTTCTTTCTTTCAAAATCAGATGCTCATTGAAGACTGTGTTTATATTTGACTTGCTCTGAAGCCACTTACATAAGTGTGTGTGTATAACTATATTAAGAGACTCCTTAAATTTTGTGTTTTTTTTGTTTTTTTTTTTTGTGAATATCTCAAAAATTGGAGATTTAAAAAGAAAGAAAAATTTTGTGATGATGGTCCCATCACCAAATCGAAAGGTTTTTATTAAACCTATAAAATAATGTGATTAATAAATATGTCATACATTAAATAAAAACTGCTATGTCTCTTATATTAGTCCTGTATAACCTAAAATCTCTAAATCCTGGATCTATAAAAGCAGTCAAGGGAAGTTTTATATTAAAAATATACATTTGAATATAAAACTCATCAGTGATAAAATTATAATGACCAAAGAAGATTCACATTCCTTTTCTTCTATCTAAAAGTATAGAAGATATATAATTTTGGAAATTAAATTGGCCACACAAAGTAAACACAGAAAAATACTTTCTGGTCAAATGAATCTGAATCTGAATCTCAGTTTAATCTCTGGCTCACTGTGTTTCTTGAGGGCCAATGGCTACGCCTGTCTGATCCTTGGGTTTCTCATACATAAAATATAAATCAATAGTATCTATTTTAGATATATGTTGTGACAATTAAATAACAATGCTTAATCCACTTCCCAGTTTTAATAGTTACAGCTATTTCTTAGTTAATAAATGTATTCTACTTGTCATAAAATAATAGGATACATTTAATCAACCCTTATTAAAATATTACTTAGTTTTGATTATCTCATTCCCCACAATGTACAAAAAATCAAAGTGTGCTTTTGAACCTAGAAAATGAAAAGGAAAGACTATTATTTTACACAATTGCTGCTCTTTATATGAGGAATAGCAGAAGAAAGCTTTAAAAACTTGTTCCAGATATCTAATGTTAATGAAAAAGGAAAGCTTATAAATTTTACCAGAAGAAATGACAGTAGTATCTGAGAAAAACATCCTGACACTAAATCCCTAAGAATTACTTAAGAATTCTTTCCTAGAGGTACCTTTCTGTTTAGTATGTTATGTATTTATATCTACCTTCCTGAAATTCGCTGGTATATTCCAAGTAACTTGACAAGTCTCTTTTGTTCTAGACAGAGTTTTGCTCTGTCACCCAGGCTGCAGTGTGTTGGCACATTTTCGGCTCAATGCAACCTCAGCCTCCCAAATTTAAGCCATTCTCCTGCCACAGCTTCCCGAGTAGCTAGGATTACAGGCTCCCACCACTGCCCCTGGCTAATTTTTGTATTTTTAGTAGTGATGGGGTTTCACCATGCTGTTCAGTCTGGTCTCAAACTCCTGACCTCAGGTAATCCACCCACCTCAGCCTGCCAAAGTGCTGGGATTACAGGTGTTAGCCACTGTGCCTGGCTGTTGACAAGTCTCTTCTAATGTGAGGAGTAAGGGGGCATCTGATTAGTTGACTAATGTTCTGACCATGAGTCTAAAATATTTAGATATCTCATTATTAGCATTCCCGAATATTTTTCATGATGTTCTTGTCAGGTGGAGTGTGTGTGTGTGTGTGTGTATGTGTGTATTAATACTATCTATTCATATGTACAAAAACTATATATAAATATATATAGTTTATATATACTATATATAAATAAAGTCATATAGTTTGTACTCTCTCAGAGAGAGAGAGAGAGAGAGAGAGAGACTCTAAGGTTATATAAGATTAGTTTCTTTTATTCCATTAAGAAAAGGAGATATGTACTACTTAGAGATTTGGTTTTCTATTCAATTGCTAAATTTTATCCATAGGGGAAAAAAGAAAAACAGTCTAACAGGACAATAAACCAACATTTATGGGACATGGATCATCTATTTTCAAATATTTATTAATATCTGATGTTCAAAAGATGTAAAGAGTAACACCATTGGGAGAAAATTATAGTAAGACAAACTGCCCACATCTGGACATCTGAATGTATTTTGCTTTATAATTCAGCTACTTTGATCAATGTAGTAAAAGTCACTAAAAATTTAGAACTCAAGTAGATTATCTAATATCAATGTCCCTTGAGAGAGTTAACAGTATTGACCAGGAATCCTTTCCATATTGTATTGCTTGATCAAACATATAGTTAAGTACTAGGTAATCCTTAGCTATATGAAGAAGTGGTAGAAAACTAAAATCAATTGATTAATTCAACTAAGTCAATAAAAATTATCAATCAATTATTCTCAGTACGTTCACTCAGTAAGACAAAACATTATGGTTTCTACAATAAAAATTGAAAAAGAATTTAGTAATTAGAGCTCAGTTTTTATTTTAATGTCCTGTCAATTAAAATGGGGAAAAACACTTTTAAAAGACCATTTTCCATCTAAGGAATAACATTGTACTATTATACATCAATGGCACCTTTCAGAACACCAAAAATATTATCTGAGTTATGTACTTCATTGTATATTATTATGCTGCACTATTCCATTGAATATTTATTTAAAACGTAACTTTAAAAACAAATGCCTTTTATTAGAGAAATTATTAGGCAAGTTACGTATCACAATTTGTTTGTCAGGCACAGTGCTATGGAAGTTTTGCTTTTCAATAACAAATAGCTATTTAACCATCATGGAAATGTTATGAAGAAGGTATTTCTTATTTTTGTTAAATCTTTCATCATGAGTCCAAAGTTTTGAAAGGAGAAGTTGTTAGGACCCAGATCTAAGCCCAGGGCATTTTTCACTACATGTGTTGCATTTAGTTAACTCACTAAAGCAACTGGAAGCTTCAAGAATCTGAAGATGGTAAAAATGTTATGGACTTTGGTGAGGGAAATTCAGCAATGACATTCAAGAGGAACAATTCTAAAGAGAAGGGAAATGGAAAATGTGATTGTATATTGATTGGACTGTGAAGTGAGAGAGAAGTATAATCCTGAAAAGCAGATCTTTCACAATATGAAAAGGATTGTTTCTATTCATATCCTGGGCTCTTGTTCAGTGTAGGCAAACTATGGCAGTCTGGTGGGGGTGCACGGTTTATATGAATATAGCAAAATATTACTTTTTAATCTATCCAGGCAATTATTTCCATTCCTTATTTCTTGTCCATAGCTATGGTTTGTGCCATCCACATAATTTTAGTTTTATTCTTTTAAAAGATAATTTTATCTTTTATCAGCTATTGATATTTCTCATTTATACATTTCCATTATTTTATACAATTGCATTTGTATTCCACTGAAGCAATGTTAATACAATGGGAAAAAACTGAAGCTTTATTGCTCTAGGATCACTGTTCTAGCTGAAGTATCTTAAAATACTCTGTTGCTAGATAATTTCCTATTGATAGCATATGTGTTAGGAAATTCATAATATAATTTATTCGTCTTAAATGTGTTGAACTGCATGTTCATTAAATTTTTACAAGGATATCCCTATTAAAAAATGGAAAAATGATTATTTAGACTCACAAAAAACCTACCACATAATGTACTAAACTGTTGTCTTTGTTCAGTACCTAAATTCTGAATAATGCTATGTGCAGATGTCCTAATAAGTATTAATAACTCACACAAATAAAATATATTATCTGATTTTAAGAAGACACAAATATTGTGATAGATGGTTTTACTTTTGTGTCATCTAAAATAATTATGTGTTCCTTAAATTGCATTGAAACTAATCAGATAAACATACTAAGATACTTCTTAAAATAACATTTTTCTTGTATAATGCATCTTCAATTTTCAATAGTTTTCTTTTCAAACTAAGGAAGTTCTCACATTTAACCATTCTTACTCTTTAAAAACATTAAGATAATCGTTTTACTTTAAATAACTAACACAGCTTTCTTCAATGAAAATCACATGAAGAAAAGGAAACACTTGGAGAAAACCTTAAACCTCACTTATAGAGAATTCCCAGGGATAATCACTCAGGCTATTTAGAACAACAAAAAGTAAATTTCTATGATAACGAAGTCTGATTTGATTGACTTTGGAGCAAATTTGACATCTTTTTTCATAAAACTGTAGCAATGCTGTCAAGATAAACTTTTTAAAACTACTGCGAAGTATTATTATATGTGAATCTCAAAAGCATTTTTATTTGTTTTTTAATACCTTGTTGCTTTCGTGGATCATAAATCTGAAGCCCAAATAGGGGTGGTCTTTCATGCCTCAGCAATGTCACCTCACTCGTTATCAAGTCGAGTTGAAAAATGGAACCATTCATATAATCTGTCCAGAACACATAATTTCCATGATGCGACAGTCCAAAAGGGTGGTTCAGCTCTCTCCCACTGTACACAATCTGTAAAATATAAACACATTGTGAAAAATCAGAACTTGACTTTAGAAACATAACCAGATATTTAGAGAAAGTGATACTCAATAAGTATAACGGATAATAATCTAATATCTTAACTCATTTTCTCTGATAGATTTGAAAAATGGATTTCACAATGTGAGCATATTTTTTGTTTGTTTTAGGGCATGCTATTTGAAGGAAACCATCTATATTTTATCCATGTAAATTATTTCATCTATGGCACAAAAAATATGGTTAAGAATGCAAATATTAAAATGACTTTTCCCTACTCTCATTTCTGTTTCTTTTGCTTATGATATTTCAGTATCATATCCTGGGATAGAAAGCAATCTGAATAATCATGTGTATTACAACATTGCTCATCCAGTAACCAACAGATAGAAGATGTTCAAACAGCATTGGGAGTAAAAATAATCCTCTAACTTTAATTGGGCCAATGCAAATTTAAGAAATCTTGGATCTGACAGAAAAGGCGGTAAAGATTTTAATTTTAAACACAGACGCATTTATTCTTAGTAAATAGATAAAAGCTCACTGACAAATTAAATTCTGATTATGTTAATGTATTCACTTACATTCTAGTTATATTGTTTTGTTGTTCCTTAAATGGAGGAATCATGTGATAAAACTTTAAGTCCAGTTTCATATGAAGGATTGTAGAAGGGGAATAAATTACACCTCAATAATAATACTTTTTCACCTTTCACCACAAATAAAAATATATTGAATACAAGACGAAAAAGATTTTGTATTCACTTAATATTAGAGAATTAAGAAAATTATCTAAATAATTTAGGGTCAAAAATTTAAATTTCGCTCCTTTTAACTGAATTATTCTTACCAAATTATCATATATTGAATAATTGACATGGTTTCTTAATTTTTTTCACCTTTTCGTAAGCTAAAATATGCTGGCCATGAAAGTATTATGTTTATTGTTTACATACGAACATCTTCTAAGAAAGCATAAAGATTTATCTAGCACCTGTTAAGTATGTGACATTACGTTAAATGCCAACCAATTGTACTTATTTGAAGAAAGTATTTACAGTATTGTTAGAGTCAATCAACATTGATTGATTAGTATTTCTTTCTAAAACAGAATCCATAATGAGTAGGCTTAGCCAAATATGCAGTTTTTCTTTCCAAAAAGAAAAGAAATACAACTTAAAGGAAGTGTTTTGGTCATTTCTAACATTCCCTTTTACTATTATTAAACTCATAAAGTCAGTTATTAGTGTTATGTGTAATTAGGTAACCAAAACATGAAATATAGAGGTTCTGTTTTGTGAGCTATGCCTCTGTCTCACAGCCAATTGCATCATCTTCAATTTTACCTAAGAATTTCAAAATCATTTTGCAGTTACTCTAGCAAAAAAAGCAAGAGGAAACTGATACCTATTAATACCAATAAACTTGAAGTTCGGCTCATTCCTACTATGTGTTTAAGTTTCAATGTCACCAAGTTACTTATTCAACTAAATACAATGTAATTACTTCCTCATCATACATAATGTTAAACTTCAGCTGAAGATATTGAACACATTTTAATAGAGTGGGGTTGCTTGGTTATAGAAAAATCATCAATAATGCAGAAAAACTGCATTTTAAAACAGCTCTGATATCCTGAGAGCTGCTTTTAAAAATCCCACAAATCCTGGCACACCACTGTGAGCTGGGCCCGATCTCCCAGAGGCAAGTGCCAGCTGCACTCCTTAATGCTCAGCCCCCTTCAGCCACCCCATGGAGACCATTGGCAGCCACCTCAGAGGAGTAAAAATAAACTTGAAAGTATTTTTAACACAACACAACAAGGCTCTGTGAAAAAAAGAAGCCTGTGGGTTAAAAACAGCAGCATTTGTCTTTTACCTTCCTGTGAGTTCCATTCAAAAACACTTTTTCAATATGATCGTAATAGGCATCACACCAGTATAATGTGTTGGTGTGAAAGTCCAGAGTTAAACCATTTGGCCACAGCATCTTTGAAGTCACAAAAATCTGCCGATTGAATCCATCCATCCAGGCCTTCTCAATCCTTCCCACGCTGTCATCTATTTCATCTTCCTCCCAGTCTGTCCAATACATCCAACTAAGACATTAAAAATGCATAGGTGTTATTACAACCAACCACAGTATAGACACTTCCTCAGATTTGACAGTTTCATAAATTCTAGTTTCATTCTGATTTGTCCTCCTATCTAAGTGTTTATTTGTCAAAGAGGGGGCAGCTGTGAAGTTTTAAGGAAAGCAAAGATTTGTTTGGTAGAACTGTGCATTTACACTTATTACAGAAAAGCCAACTGCCACCACTATTGCACTTACTGGCTTCACGCATTAATGAACCTGACAGTAAGTGCCAAATAGCTATTTTTGGGAGGTGTTGATACCAAGTATAGGAAATGATTTTCTGGGTCATTACTATTTTAAATGTTGTCCACCTCAAAAAGTATATCATCAATTACATGATTAAAAAGCAGATTGACTGACATGAGAATCCATGGCACAGTTAATGATCTACTCCAGACTTTAGTTAATCTCAGATGAATTATTATTTTTTAAGACAGGTAATTGAACTGCCTTTGTTCTAAAGGGCATAGTCATACTGAGTTTGTTTGGCTAGGTCTGATTTGTTTTCCTGATGCAAATAATCTATGTTTTACTGCTGCTTATTATTACCCCAAAATCTACAGAAGATGATTTATCTGCACATAAGTTTAGTAATAGCAAGTTGACTGACCTTGAGATTTTGAGCTTTAATTTCTATCTCAAACAAAAGCATCTGCCTTTAAAAACAAATCTTTTGTATAAGCTCTAACAGTAGGAGAGGGGGCCTTGAACGAATGTTCCAATTCCCTCATGAATGAGGTTAAAACCCACCACATGGGTTGTTTTAGGGTCATGTGAAAGTTCTTGAGTTTATTAATTAAAGTGTAGGTTTAATCCAGTCATCTCATATACAACTTTATAAAGTCTCAAATCTTTTCTAAGCTGCTGACCCTTGAAATACCCTTATTAGATCCCCTGCCTCCCCCATTTTGTAGACCCTAAGAATTTCTAAGTGCATTTGGAAAAAGTCTGTCACCATGACGAAAAATCCTACTGTGATCTAAACTGGCCGACTTGGGAAAACTGAGGATGAACACATTACCCATTATTTCAAACCAATTAAGCTCTTTTTAAATTCTCTTAACGGTTTCCAATTATGTTGATATGCCTTTTCAGACCCAAGGAAGTATACTGAGACTGTTGAATTGTATTAATCCTAGAAATAAACACGGAAATATTTATATCTTGTGTCTTGTACTTCCTTAAAGTGATTTTTGAATTAGGACAACTTAGTAACAAAAAGGATAGTCATTCTGTTTGCTCTAATTCTATGTTAGTTAGGTATAACTACTTGACATCAGCTACATAAATGAACTATACAAAGGCGAAACATGCAATCTTTTCATCTCTATTGATATTTTCCTGACATATTTTTATATAAAGTTGATCAATGCAGTTTTACTTTTGCTAATTTATGACTTCTTAATATTGCAGTTATCTTACCCTACAGCTTCTATTTTTGATCATGGCAATACATTTTTTCTGTGACCCAAATCACACATACATGTGCCTGTGTGTGCACACGCGCACACACACACACACACACACACACACACGAAAAAAAATCTGGATATTCTAAATATACTGCATATTCTTTAACTATTTGAAAAAAGAAATTGTTCACCAACTGACTCATCACTTAAAATTATTTTTATTTAAACAAAATACAAGAAAATTATTTTTCTAAGTAATGACAATCTGAGAGAGGTTATATATACATACATACATATATGTGTGTGTGTGTGTGTGTGTGTGTATATATATTCTTAAATGTATATTGTAGGCCAGGCACCATGGCTCATGTGTGTAATCCCAGCACTTTGGGAGGTTGAGGCAGGTGAATTACTTGAACCCAGGAGTTTGAGACCGATCTGAGCAACATGGCAAAACCTCATCTCTACAAAAAAATACAAAAAGTAGCCAGGCATGGTAGCTTGTGCCTGTAATTCCAACTAGTCTCAAAGCTGAGGTGGGAGAATTGATCACTTGAGCCCAGGCTATCAAGGCTGTCGTGAGCCAAGATTATACCACTGCACTCCAGCCTGGGTAACAGAGTGAGATCCTGTCTCAAAAAAATAAAAATAAGAATAAAAAATAATTTGAAAGCTTTGCAATCAATACCAAATGATGAGAATTCTTAAACACACAAAATAGAAATATAACCTATAAAATAAGCAGGAACTAATACAAGTATTTTTTCTAGGTGGAACTTTGAGTATTCTTCACATAAAACATAGGTTAATCCGGCCTTCTGCTAATACAGCAAGAAAAATTCTACCTTCTATTTCAAGCCCTGTTTGAATGTAATTATCTGATGAAGACTATCCCCAGCCTTTGTGGAGATGAGTGAAAATAAGCTCTTTCCTCTGTTTATGAATAACACTGTCTAGTTTTAAATAATATTTATTGCACTTATTCCTTGTATATAGGGACAGTTGGTAGGAAGACATTACAGGGATGCAGATATTGTCTCAATGAAAAAAAAATATTCTATTAATCAGAATTGCCTCCAAATAGTTTGAAGTACGTAGATGCTACAGGTTTCTAACATAATTTGGATGCCTATAAACTTGGAAGATGTTGAAGAGGATTTCTAAATTTGATGAGAGGCTGGAGCTAGTGGGCTCTAAATTTTCTTCTAAATTATATGTTTATATGACTTCCACATTTATGTCATCTCTTGGGCACAAAAAAGACCCTTTAGCTCTATCAGAAAACATTTTCTCTAACAGAATAGTGAGAAAGAAGATACTGTTTTAAGACAGAAATTTCTTTAATTTCTGTTTAATTTCTGTTTTAAGACAGAAATTTAAAATTAAGAAATTTCTTCATATAGATTTGGACAGTGTGGAATAAATACTCTCTTCAAAAACTAAGACTGATTTAACAGACGATTATATAATCCAAACATAAAATCACCAATATTACTTTATAATTATGCCCTATGAAAACACTTAACAATGAGTTCACTCACTCCCTACGAAGAAGCACTCTGGTTGTATGTGGAGCTCTCTCAACACAAACAACTCTAGGAACTGCAATTTGGTGATCTCAGTTTATAAGGGCTTCACATGCCTCCTATACAATACATATTTTTTGTATATGTGCAGTAAAATGTAAAGAAAATCTATTTTTTGATGTCTTGAAACAATAATATGTAAGCCATGGAAGGAAAACACTCCAAAAAACTATACATGTAAAATATTCAATAAATAACATTTTTTAAGTTATAAAATACTATTAAAATTTCCATCTTCTTTGATATTTCTATAAGTACAGTTTTGCATTCAGGTAATAGCACTGAATAAAAATCTAAAGAAAACATATTGCCAAGAATTGGACTAAATATTTCATTCTAAAACAAGTAATACATACTAGAAAATAATGTCTCTATATGGAAATTATGGTGGTATCTAAAATTGTGTGATTATCACCCTAGACTAACGAAAAGCAGTGAAGGTTAGTGGCTAAGAGTCAAGTCATAGAGACAGGCTCCCTGGGAATAAATGTATACCCAGTCTTTTATTAACTGAATGGTGTTTGGCAAGGCAGTTATCATTTTCAACTTTATAAAAGAGGGATAAGAATAGCAATTCATTCAGAGGATTATTGTGAGGGTTGCAAAATAGGGTCATAGTAACCCATTTAATAAAATGCCTGACCTGCAGGAAATGTATAAAAACTTTTGCTATTTTTTGAATACACTAAATTTCAATTGCCTTTAAAATATAGAATTGGTTGTCTAATCGAATTGATTATTTATCTTGGTGTTGGCTGCTCAAAATACAGAATTATAGCGCTAATTTTAATAAATCAAGTAATATATCTTTGTGCAGTAATCTATTTCAGGTCAGTGTATTCTGACATGTTTATTTAGTACATTCTCTACGACAGAAAAACCATTAAATGTGTAACTTATCAATTAAGACCATTTGTGTGGAATTTCAGCTATACATATGAATTAAAATAAAACTGACTACTATTAACTATGTAAGAAATACATTTATCTACTATCATTTTTCTTATATAAAGCTAGTCAAATATTTCATACCCATTAATTGGATCCACCACAATTCCTCTGGGATGAGACATTTCACCCTCTAAAAGAGTCTTCCGACTCTGAGAAGCTTTTTCCAGCCTGGCCACATTAATGGTTTTCCTATGGCCATCGTTGGTCCAGTAAAGATTATTTCCAATCCAGTCCACAGCAATGCCCTCTACATTATCCAGATCTATATATATACATAAAAGCAAAAACAAGAAAGAAACTGCTTTTACAATTACAGTAAAATTAGTGTTCACTACTAATATTCTACCTAATAAAAACTTTAGTTCAAAAAGGAGTGAACTCTGATCCTTGAAATCTTTATGGTGTAATTTTTGCAAATGTCACTATTTTACAGAATACTTTTCAATTTTATTTTGAATGTCTTTTTATGTGAATAATAGGCCCTCTCTCAATTGTACACAATGTTAACAAATTAATCATGGTCATTAACTCAGATTTTAATTGAACCTCAATTTATTGTAATTCAGTGATCTGCAGAAAAATGGAACATGTAAGTGATAGGAGTGAAAAAGCTTGAATATAAGTGACAAATTCAGCAACATAGACTGTTCTGAAGAAAAATCTACTAGTACTGTGTCAGCATGTTCAAACTTGTAATATGTAATCTGAGTAATCAAAATAATATGAATGTCCTCTTGCCCAAGGATGAACAGTTTCAGCAGGAGCACAAGTATGAAAGCCCAGGACAGGCTTTCATCCCAGAACTGCGTCCACAGTGAATCGCAAGGAATCGCTGAAATACTTCTATTTTAGACTTACCTTACAAAGAATACTATTACAGGATTATGTGAGATACAGGCAATGATAATTCAAATGTAACAGACAAATAATAATCCTAGGAGTTCACCTAATTCAAACCCTTTATTTTATAAAGGGGGGTAACGAAAACTTCAAAGTGAAGGCAGTTACTTATAGTCTATTATCGTTCACGAAGCCGTAGCAATTGGATAAAAATCCAAGCCTTATGACCCACAGTGTGGAAACGCTCAAAACAGCACAGTTCCTAGGGTAACTTTCTGTAGCATCCTGTTGTTGCTTTTTGTCATTTTGTAAACCACACTTCAGCCTACAACATTACAACGACAATTCCATTCTCCTGTTGCAGGAAAAATTGCTATGAACTCCTTCTTTTCTCTCAAAACCATGGGAGTCTACACCGACTTCCTCTTTTCCTTTTTGGCATGAGTTACAGAACTGGAATTTACTGGACAAAAGCAATAGGTAGTATATGTTAGAGAAGGAGCTGTGTATTCACACACTACAAGGAAATCTATATCACATTTCCCTGTATGCAGACACAAAGGATATTCACTATTATCATGTTATTTAATCATAGTCCTTCTGGCTCAGGACAAAACGTACAATTTTCCCTTATAACCCTTATTGCTAATCAACATTTGTCGTGATTCAGAATGACTGATAGAAAATGTGATCTGATCTAACTGAAAATCCCATTATAGTGAATCAGATATGTTCCCAATTTCACTAAGTTATCTGCTTCATTATTATCCAATATGAGTAATTTTCATAGGTTAATTGTGCCTGTGCTTAGAAAAAGAAGTTTAATTGCGTCTTTACTTATTGACACTTAATTTTCCTGAGCACTTTCCTATTCTTGCATAATGGAACGAGAGTAGTTATTTACTCTTTTCTATTTATTATAGTCTATAGCTGATTTCTATCTTAGTTGGTTTTCACAAATTGAATTACATTTGAAATCTCTTCCAGTATAAAAAAGTCTTCATGCTGGATAACCCTCTTATTTTTGAAACTTTTCCTTTTAATATATGACTGGAGATTTATTTATTTTTTTTTCATATGAAGCAGTTACAATGCTGTATGGATGAAATTTTTGTTTCTGACACTTGGGTAAGCAAACTCAGTGATGCATCAGGAAAGTGAAGATTATAATAGCACCTACCTTATAGGGTGATTACAAAGGACAAACTATTAATAGCTACTGCATGTAAACATTTAGCATATTTCCTGGAATACAGTAACTTCTCAGTTCATGTTAGTTTTTATTAACCTATCAGGATTAAAAAATATTTTATATCTTTTCTGTCTCTTTTCTTTAAGGGTACTACTTGATAGGAATATATCTTATGTTTTTTGCCTTTAAAATGTTTTTTTCTGTATTTTCTTGCATTTTTACCAGTGACTAACTTTGACTAAAAATAGTCTATAAATAAATATATGTGATATTCTTAAAATAATGGTTGGCACATACTAAATAATACATTAATATAATGATTATTATTCCTGTAATAATATCACTGTAATTTCTGTATAATCTTTTCTTTTTATTATTATTATTATTATTTTTTGAGACGGAGTCTCGCTCTGTCGTATAATCTTTTCTTAAGCAAGATATCTACTGTATTAAGATAGTAATAAAGGAATTAGCCTAGAGTATTTTCTAAGGTTGTTTTCTGTTTGTGCTTTGATTTATTTTTCTGTTATAGGGAGAATGACAATGAATAAAAATTTTAAAATAAGAAAATGTATGAAAAGATCCATGAGCAAATTGGGAATCTTTTTAGGTTATCTTTAATAGGGCAAGGAGGAATTTCTCTCATGCAGAACAAAGCTTGAACAATCAATTACTTCCTTTCTCAACAAATATACATTGATAAGGGAAGCATTCTGCTTCCACATTATTTGATCCCTGCTTTAAATTAACTTATAAATTAGATCGAGAAGTTATACATATAGAACACCAGTCTTATGTACGTTTGATATTTTATTCAAAGGGGTCTGTTTGAGCCCTGCCTGAGACTGACTAACAATGACTCTATGAACAAAAGCCCTTTAACCAGATCAGGGACATATGAAGGTTATGGCATTCAAAGGCCAAAAAAACATCAGTGACTACAGAGAGTCCAATTATTAGCTTGAGAAAACACATGATATTAAAATGCAAGGAAGATGTTCGATAAAGAAAAACTTGGTAGAATAGATTGTTTTGTGTACTTTGGGATAGAGTTCAAGTATCCTACATTATAGAATTCATATTTACTACTATTTATTATTATTATTGCATAACTAATAACAAACAAGAGCATGACTATATTAAAAATCTGGTCAAAATCTCCCTTAGCTTTCACAAAATACCCATTTTCATGCATCAACAGGCAAGGAATCAACATACTTGTTCTTCTTCAGAAAAAAAAATCCAGTAGATAATTATTTCTAAACTTTGTTTAGATTAATATTATGTCTATATTTTTCATGCTAAGTGAAGATATTGCATATTTAGTCATATTCAGAAAATAAAGCCTTTTCATGCATTCTGAAAATTTAATATATTATTTTTCTCAAATTATTAATATTTCTACAACATGTTATCTTTGTAAACATTGTTCTAGCAATTTCAAAATAACTTGTATGAATGGAGTAATATATAAACAGTACACTAAATACCCACACACTCACACATCTAATTCAAATTTAGGATTAATAATGAAATGCATGGTTTACTTAAGTGAAAAACTCCTTATGTTAACAATATTATTTCCCATAAAAGACACCTACCACTAAGGAAATGAGGATAAATAATATATAATAAAATTTATATAAATTTTAAAAGAATAATGATGCAGGTTTAAAAAGAATAAATAGGACCATTCTTCAAATGAATGTAATACTTTGGACTACACCAAATAAACACTTTTCAAGAAAGTGGTTTTGGGAGAAAAACATTTTTCTAAAAAGAAAACTTCATTACAGGTCTGATTTTTAGATGTTACACATTCATGGGACAGAAGACTAAAGTTTTATATACTTAAAATAAAATTGCATACTTTTAAATTGGGTCCATGATTTTTTTTTACAAGAAAGGATGTGAGCAGTGGCCTTATTTTTGTTATGGTACATGAGCAGGATCTCCAAAAATGATCCGTAGATCTTGATGCTTTACAACAGAACTTGATGCATATAATAAGAAATTAATTAAAAATTATGCCCAAAAATGGCCATTATAAAATCAGAGTTTCTACATTTTTCTACCTTATACAAGTTTATCCAGCGTTATCTATCCTTAGCATGAACATTATTTTTCTGAGTTGTAATGAAAGTGTCTACATGAGTACAGAGTATGGTAAAGTACTTTAAATGATTAAATTTGCATCATGCATGCAGACATGCTTAAGGTCAGCAATGCCTTACCTCAACCTAGAGTCAACAGTTGGACAACTTTCCTGTCTCCTATTCTTGTAGTTCAATTAACACAAATTCTCTTTGTGCATTTCAATATGGCTTGAGGCTATAAATAGCTCATATGTATCCGACATGAGTAAATGACATTGATTTAATTAATAGTGTAGCAGTAAAATTTGCTTGCTGAATAAGCTGTCTCTTGGGGTTTCAAGGGTCTCTGGTCACAAACTAAAGATATTATCTGTCCCTAATGGCCAGTTGAGGGTGATGTTTCTCATCCTCATTTTCATTCCAGATTTCTCCTTAGTTGTTAGGTCAAGGAGGGTGAATACGCAAGCCATTCTCACTCAGTACAAAATACCTTGATGTTGTATTCAAAGAGATATGTTGAGTGCATATAAGGGCCTTATTTTCCAGAATAAACAGAATATATTAAAACATAGTGGTTTCCTTTCATTATCCAAATGCAGACTGTCATTTTCAATGGGTCTGGGGATACAGATCATCACTCTATGATATTCAGATATTTTATCTTTGATACGATGAAGACATGGACAAGTAAAGATAGGGCCATAGTATGCATCATAGTTACCAATAATCTACAGTGACAATTAAAATGAAAGATTCAGAATGGTTAAGGACTGAGATTTTCATCATACTTTCAAGCTTATAAGTTTGTCTGTTTTTGTTCCATGATTTCTGGTAGAAGATACAAGACTTGTGGAACCAATATAAAAGATTTTATTACTCATGGCACAATAAGCAGCATGGTCATCAGCAAATTGGTGTCAGTTCCTTTTACTCCAAAGTCCGCAGGGGCAACTGGGAGGGGTCCATATGGATGCTTTCATACACTGTGGGTGGCATTACAAGAGAGGAATTCTGAGTTTAGAAAATCGAAGCCTATTATAATGGGCAGTAAGAAGGCCTGCTGTTTTCACTGGCAGGTGACTCTGTCTCTTTCTCTCAATACTCTTTGCTATACAAACATTCTTGAAAAGATAC